GTCGGATTCATGTTTATTCATTACCCTGCTGTAGTCTGATTCATGCTTAAGGATTTGCTGTATGGAAATCTGCTTCATGTTTTTTCAATGAATTATGTACTTTCATCTTTATTCATGAAGCATGTACTATAAATAATCTACGTCATACTAAACCATGGGACTTGTGTATGTTACAGGTGAACTGGTTTTATTTTGTAGAGAAACACCAGACATACTGGAGTATTGGAATGGCGTGCTGCTGTTCATGAAGGAATTAGCACTTTCAGAAAAATGTGCAAAGTTTCCAGTTGTGATTAAACCATTCAAATACTTTTTTGGTAACTTGGCCGAAAAAAGATTAAAGGTAAGCATTGTCTGTTCTGTTCCATAAGATATTTATACCCTCATTACATTTATTATGAGGAAATCTTTTCAGACTCATTGTTCGAGTCACAGCTGGTCAAAGGTTAATTAAAATATAAATCCTATTACATAATTGTCACAATTCAGGTGAAGAAGAGGAATGCGTCTGTTCAGGACTGGTAACATCTAGCATATCATTTATATACAGAAACAAAACAACAACAGTGCATGTTTCCAGTCTGTCGTGTTCTGCTTCTTGATGACTTTTCTATTTTACTGATCAGGAATGCTGCAATTGATGACGTAATCTGGCCAGATATATCGTAATTTCCGTGTTTGTTGATCAGATGCAGATAGGAAACCTTTTTTTTTTTAAATTTTATAATGAAATAAAGATATATATACCATGCACACATCCTTCTGTATCTTGGATGTTTGTTCATTCATCCATAACTAATTGTATGTTTCTAGGTGACATTAAAACTATGAAGAGCAGTTCGGAAGATAATTTGGAGAGTTGACATTGTTATTAAAAAAAGATGTGAATATTGAAGGTTGTGACTGTTTATTCTATTGGCTGTCCTATGTATATGTTAAAAAATAATAAAAACACATTTTTGTTGTAGAAAACTCCCGAGCTCATCACCCAATGGATGCCAGTATTCAGCGAAATGCTGCAAAAGACACCATCGTCCAAGTGCCTGGACAGTTGGGCTTTCCAAACTGCCATTACAATGGCGGAATTTTGGCCTCCACAGTAAGTCTAGTACATCGTAATCACAAGGGTCACACAGTTCATATCATATAGGTCATGTCAAACAAGTCAGATAATACAGGTCATGCCATATTATACAGGTCAGATGATACAGGTCAGGTCATATAGGTCAGGTCATACATGTCATATCATATAGGGCATGTCAAACAAGTCAGATAATACAAGTCAGGTCATATTATAAAAGTCACAGACAGGTCAGGTCATATAGGTCAGGTCATATTATACAGGTCACATACAGAGAAGGTCATACTGGTCATATCTTATAGGTCATGTCATACAGGTCAGGTAATACAGGTCGGGTCATAGATGTCATATCATACAGGCAATATCATACAGGTCATATCATAAAAGTCATAAGGTATGTCATACAGGTCATATCACACAGGTCATGTCATACAGGTCGGGTCATAGCTGTCATATCATACAGGTCATGTCATACAGGCCATGTCATATTATACAGGTCACATACAGGTCAGGTCATACAGGTCATATCACACAGGTCAGTTCATATAGGTAATATTATACATGTCACATACATGTCATATCATTCAAATCATAGCATACAGGCCATGTCATATTATACAGGTGGTTATATTTGTTAGATCGTACAAGTTTGGCCGTACATGTTAAATTGTCCGGACATGCGTGCATACGTAGGCGTACAGGTAAAAATATATTTATATTTTAGCGTAAAGGTTATGACTGGTAGGTATATGTTTATGTATACATGAAGGTCATCTATATACACGTGTATATGTCATGTATACAAATGTATACAAATGTACGGGTCATTTGTTTTAGCAACATGTACTGAGTATTGTACGGATAGGAGTTTAAGAAGTCTAGTCTAAAGAAAAAATGATTTATCATATTTTTTTTACAGGAAAGGATTAGCTATACCCTGGCTCACAATCGTGAAAGGACTGTTGCAGTATCCGGACCCAGACGCCGGGAGAGCGGCTAATTACATTCTTAGCAAGGATAAATTCATAGCGATTTGGGATTGGAAAGTAAGATAATTTGAGATTGTACAGAATAACCAACTCGAAGATCGCGATTACGCCCAGTTATCGGAGCACACGTCAAAGGACGAGTTTGTGCCAATGTGTATACAATGTAGTTCTCTCACTGTGTGTCGTACACATATACGTGGGTTACTTCATGTGTGTGTCCTTGTCTTCCACACGTGTGAGTCAAAGTTAATAATTTGTGCCGTGGACTGTCTAATCGTATGTCGTGCATGGTGTGTTCCAATTGTAAAGAGATCAAACGTCCTGTAAACTGTTTTATCCAAATCAGCGATCGACTTCTTTTGCATGAATATGTCGCCACGAAAGTGGACATTTGTTACACACTAGGCTGTAGACCGTAGTATTAAATAGTTAGTAAGAGTCATTCTTTATTCACTGGTGTTATAAAGGTTGCAGGTTCATACACACCCCTGGTGCTATGAACTGTTCCCTGCAATACATACCTTCACTTGGCTACAACTGGTACATGTGTTTCTGTCGGTAGTTCAAGAGCTTTCTTCCTTAGCTAGCCCATATATTTTTCTTCTCGGCAAGCTCATATGACTGACATATCCACATTTTCTGTGTAATCAAACTACATCAATCCTCATATTTAGACCCTAGTTATGAAGGTTACGTCAACACTCATCATGTTAGCCCCTA